TGGATTCTATTGACAAATTTTCAATTAGGTCATTATTGATTTATTTTATGCTCACTATATTTATATTTTGAGTAGTTGGCGACAGTTTACAGGAAGCCCTTAATCTAAGTTTCTTCATAGTCAAAATATATCATCAAAGAGAATCTACAGTTTTGAAGAAACCCAGAGGTAACCTCTCAGACTGGGAAGCTGGATGAAATAGATTAGTATCCTATTGAGAGCGTCAATCCCTTCGTGATTTCATGTAACAAAAACTGACCAAAAGCAACTAGTGTGAAAACTAGTTTTGGGGTATCTAGAAAACTATTGTCCTCATTCGATAAAACTATTCAAATTCACATAAAAACATCTCCAGAATACTACTGGAACCAGTCCCGTTTCGAATGTTTGTGTCATTAGTTAAATAATTCGCAATTTATCCAACACAAAATAATTGGTGCATTCTGCATGATCCTCATTCGTCACTCAACATTGACAAGCAATTCACATGTCGGATTGCTACCAATGATCGACATACGAGTACCAACAAGAAGATTTTTAATCCACCTAATTTTCGCATTCGTGTTACAAAAGGTTTAATCTACCTACGTACACACACTTAAACAGAAATTAAAATGAAAGTTACAGAAGAAGTGTCTTTTTTCGAAGATGTTACTTTTCTGTCTATCTTATCATATTTGTTTGAAAAGTAATAAATAAACCCACTCAATGGCCCTAAATATAAACTGCACAAAAAACTTATCATGTTTCTACAAAAAAACTAATGACTCAATATGAATCAGTTTCAAAGTTTAGTGTTGACATCAATGGCCACTAGTCTGAAATGAAACCAGCTGTTTGGTTCCAAACTAAATATTATATAAAACAGGGTATGTATACATCTTGGATTCCACAGGTAACCAAAATAAAAAGACTATAATAATGTAGATGATAACTAAGTGGAATATACACCGGAAAACGGTTAATCAGAGGTCATAAAGAAATAAAAATCAGTTAATTAACAGTCAGGGCATACAAAATCCTTTACTAGATTTAACTCGATTTAAGATTAAAATGAGCTGGATTTCTGAAACTAATTTAAAAACAGGTTACTAAATGTTTTATTAAAATTGAAACCGGTATTCAGAAATTGTGTCGGTTGTAATTAAAGTAATTCGACTCAAGTAATGTAGGCCGAGGTTCATAGATGTTCGGTAGTTGCGAAGAAAACATTAAATCAAAGTTGTAAATTAAGCTAATTAAAATAATTCACTGAAAAGCATGTAAGAAAAAAATAGGGGGATTGGATCTTTGAGGTTAAGAGTATTGACAAAATCGGGAAGCATTTTAAACCAGTCTCCCAGACGTTCTCAATTTAAAATTCGTTCACTCTAGTAAATCTGTGTACGTTTTTCTGGTAGATTAACATTTTTAAGTGCACGATTATAGCTACTGAAAAGTTACTTAGTAGCAAAGAAATTTTCGCAAAATAATTACGAGCTTGATTTCAGAAATTTACATTTTAAAGATATCAAGTTAGCTAATTATCTGCTTTATTTAATATCACTTTTGAAGTAAATTTCATTATGAAAGGCTTTGACGAAACGCTTTGGTATTTCTACGAATATTTTAATAAGACTGATTTGACATAACAGTACATTTCAAGTTCTATCGAAATAGTCGGAAACAAATTTCAGGACCTGAAAATAAATTTCGTGTATTTTTAACATTCATTACTGAGAACTATCTATCTGATGTAATCTGGTTACCTTATTACCATAACAGTGTATAATGTAAACTAGAAAGATAAATAAATTAAAGGTATATTTTTTCATAAGTCATGGGATATTTTGGTCTTATACAGCCTCATATAATTAGTACTATTCCCAATGATTAAGAGAATCACTGGTCTTACAAAATCACCGAAAAATCCAAGGGTATGAAATATATACAAGCACTAAAAATTGCCTACGAAAAATATCCAATGTCCGTTGACCTGATGCCATCAGTAACAGACTACTGTAGGAGAGAACAAACCATCTTCCATTTGATGAGGAAATTAAGATACGACGTTGGATGTGGATAGAGCATACGTCGTGGAAATCATCAAACTGCATCGCTAGACATGCACCAACTTGGAATCGTGAATGGAAATGTAAAGGTGGAAGGTCAAAGAACACCCTGAGACGAGAACTGGAACTAGACATTAAAGTATGAATAGCACCTGGAAACAAGTGTAAAGAATTGTCCAGGGCAGAGTTTGATGGAGAATGCTGTAGGGTGGCCTATATTATTGAATGAAGGGTAATAGGCATAAGTAAGTATGAAATACACACCAAAATTTTCAACTCTGATAAGCTAACTACACACTGTTTGATTACTACCAAAAGTATAACGCTGAAGGATAATATCCTCATGTACCAAGTAAGGTTACTTTGAAGAGTTTCTTTAAAGGCTAGTCAACTAATGGAGATTTTCTATTTTTAAACTAACAATTTTCAAGCATTCCCGTTTTTAGTACCAACTTATTGGAATTTTCTGTGTGCTCCTACTTTCTCTTGAAATAGTATCAGGCTTCATTTGCTATTCCAGAACACAATCTCAATTAAAATATGAATTCGGGTTATCACGAAATTTGTTAGATAGACTGCTTGAAGGATGTTGTTAAATTTTAACAAGCCAAGGTCTTCACCCATACTTTGTTTGTCTTAGTCATACTATTATAAATTCTGCTACTTTACTAGTCAATAGGCAGTTTTATATCTTTCCTGTTCTTTTCTGTTTCAATAAGCTGACCAGACATTAAAAGGATACATCGGCTGTTAAATCAGACCATATATCATACCACAGGATTTCAGATAAAACGTCAGTTTTGAGTGCGGAATCCGAGAGGAACGTTCATAGATATCCTCTAGAAAGGTATCTGAAGAGGTTTCTTAGGATGAAATGTCTAATAATCCCATTCTCTCCGGTGAAACATTTAAGAAAGGTAAGAAATTCAGCCTTAGAGTCAACATTTGATATCATCCATATGAGTCAATCAAACCTTTAAAAAGATTTCAATTTAGACTGTTACACTGCGAAAGTACCAATTAAATACAATTTTAAATACAATTTTATGAGGAATATAAGTTTCATTTTTCTTACAGTCACACGATAAATTACAGAGTCAGAACTTTTTGATTATCACTGTTAAAAATTTCATTATTCTATAAATTTTTTAAACAGAAAATTCCCTACTTAATACACAGTTGTACAAGTTGTATAGTGAATTGGTTCAAAAGAACTCTCCGATTAAACTATTTCTTGCATAAATTAAGAAATATATATGTTACAGCTCTGGAATCTAAGGCGCTAGATCTTTTTATTTGTGACTCGTCATTTGGATGTACCCACATCTCAGAGTTGGCATTCATTCCAAGATTCATACTTAGTACCTTTTGCCTCAAACACCTTACATGTTATCGAGTTAGATACTGAGTCCAGATACTCACTCGGTTGAGCAACAACCATGAATTTGAATTTTATTTTTGATGATATTAGATTATTTCGTTATTGATAGGTTCAACTGAGTTTAAATCCCAGAGTGGACATCAGCTCTGAGATATAGATACATCCGTTTGGACGAAACTTGCATACTTTATCCCACTGCTAACTACAATTCATATTTTCTATAAAACTTGTGACATGATGGTTATATTGAGGCAATCCTCATACCAACCAAGTATATTTCGTTCACGTGTTTTACATTGAATGAAAATTTCATCAAGTTGTTGGTTAAGGACTTTGAATAATTGAAGGTAAATTAATAGTTTTAAACAAAATCGACCTCTAGAATAAAATACTAGATAAAATAATTGCAACAATTGAAACACCAACTACATATAATTACATCAATAAACAGTATGATGAATTATTTATCATGAGACAAATTCCAATAATAATGAGAAACGATTAGCCATCTTTAGTATTATTGTATAATAGAAATGATGGACATCCGTATGGGTCTTTCTAATTCATCCGTGCAATTTCAACACAGGAAATTCTCTAATCCATTGAAATCATTTCTGCCGTATGGAGGGAGTAAATAACAGTCCCTATGGAAGTAATAATAAGTTACTGATCGACTGATAAAAATATGTTGTCATGTAATATTGTGGTATACTTCTGTTACTCTCTCTCTCTCCTATATTTATACATTATATATGTATTTCATTAATAAAACAAATAGATAATCGAAGAACTTAGAGTGGACAAAATAAAATGAATTCATTTCATTCCACAATGCTTGTAGCTTCGCCACATAAAATATGGATATTCAAAGTAACGTCTATTTGATTGTTAATTGGCGTCATTATATTATTTTTAATAAAGTTTTGCATTCTATTGTACTCTAATTAGTGACATTTCTAAATAAAATGAGAAAATTCATGTATTAGTTTTTGAGGATCCTACTGTACTGATTAATACCCATTGGAAAAACTGATGGGTATCTGAACTCAGTAGTTCAGTGAATAATAGGTTGGTATTTTTTTTAACTGAATGGTACTGGGTTCAAGTTTGAATATAACCATTAACAGCCATTCTCCAACTTTAATCATAATGCTTAATGTTATGAGTTAACTTTATATTATGAAAATTTCAAATTATCAGCAATAGGAAAATAATCAATGAATAAACAATAAATAAAAATACAATGAAAGCTAAGGTTTATTTTTATTCTTTTTATACTTTATAATCTAGGAGTACAATCAGTTATCGTACTTTATTTCATAAAAATCTGGTAGATAGTTAGAACGGAGTCATGTATTTTTAGATGATTTAAATGAAATCAACCGATTGGTGAATAAATAATATCCGTATTAACTTGTATTTTGTTAAATAGTATTATCATCTACTCATTATATAGTTTGTATTAGTATTTAGAAGAATAAGAATGATATAATACCATTTGTGTGAAAATTAAGGTCAACTGGTTTCTATTCTTTATCTACTGATATGTTATAAAATTAGAAAAAAAAATGTTATCAATGCATTTAAAATTTCGTATTGTTACAACTATTGAAGGATTTATTGGGACTATATTAAATTTATTAACATTATTTATTGTATTTAAAACACAATTTGGTTCAAAATCTACAACTTTAATGTTAAGATTACAGACAATATATGATTGTACTGCATGCTTTTTATATGCAATGTATTCAGCAACAGAAAATGATAATTTATTAGATAATAAAAATCCAACTGATATTTCATTTATCAATGGATTATTATGTTATTTATGGTCATATAATATTGCATTTTGGTCTGGTGTTATATTAAGTGTGCAGAATATTGTATGTATTTCAATTGATCGATTCATAGCAGTTCTATTCCCAATCATTTATAAAACCCATCAATTATTATTAATTATAATATTTATTACTTATCAATTATGTATGATAGGATTATTATTTACACCAATAATATTTTTTAGACGTTTCGATAATGATACATGTATTTATGTACCTGGACCAAATGGAATTGATTCATCAACATACATTGCTTTTCGTGGATATACATGGTTATTATTTCAGTATATAATTCCAGTATTGATTATTACAATTAGTCATCTTTCAATTATAATAAAATTAAAAAAGAGACAATATCAATCTAAAACTCTTAGACCGATTGAAGTTTCAAATAGTAATACATTACGAAATAAAGGATGGGAATTGAATGAACAAAAAAAGTTGATTAAATTAGTTCTTATCACGGCAATAATGTCTGGTCAACAAGCTACATTACATTTATATGAATCTATACGTTATTTTTTAACTATGTTAAATATTGTAATTTATGGTTATGGTACTATTGGACAACAAATGGGTCCATTTTTAATAGTATTAAGTAGTTGTATTAATCCATGTATCATTATTGGAACAACAATATCAGTACGTAGACGATTTTCACATTATCTACATGAAATTTGGATAAAAATTAGACGGGGTTAATGTGTTTAACATACTTTTCATAACATTTACATTATTTTACACAATGTGATTCAAAAAAAGGAAATTCACGTGTTGAATGGTTATATCAACTAATTTATTCAATTTAGGTGGATGTTAATCTAGATATGAAAAATAATGATAAAAAGGTTCATTTTATCATTGAATAAAATTTCATCTGTTTATTTATCTACTTTATTCTTGGAATTTCAAGGGTTAATATTCAGGTTATTTTGAAACATTTGTAACATACTCAAAAGAATATTTTATGAATTAAATTTCTATTACACTAATTAGTCATGTTTTTAATTCACTGAGCTGGTGTAAATTAGTTGCTACATAAAGTTAATAAGGTGAGACTATAATTTATGGACGAACCAGTCAGGTATAAGATAAAAGGTCTCGAATTTTGGCGCGAAATTCTCTCATCCATTTTGATAAAGAGTTTTGGCATTATAGCTTATGTCAACTCGTGATGAAAACCCTAAACCTGATTTATAACCCTAACAATTAACTGTAAATCATAATTATAATTCCTCACACCGGTTCATAACCCTTATTTGGTTCTGGTTATTAAGTGGACACTCTCAAGGTCAGTTTAGCGTCGCTCAAAGGTCGTCCATAAATTATAGACTCACCATTAATAATTGTAATACGTGATATAGTTTGAATATACCAGTGTACAAATATATTGCATTTGTGGAATATGTTGACTCACAAGGAAGTGGTTAACTGTAGTAAAATCATAATTTCTTATCAGCGAAGTAAACTTTTATAAGCATTTCTCTAAGAATCATTGACACCACATCAATTAATAGAAAGAAAAGTTTCCTTTAGAAATTAAATCAATGTTCATCAACTACATAAATTTGTAATACTACTTCTGAAAGGCTACCTACAGTTTGATTTTGTAATGAACATATCCCAATTAGGATCACACATTGAAATAATCGTCTAAAGTTTATTCTTTGATTCTGTTTTAACTCAAAATTAAAAGTTTTCGTACACTTGTAGATTCAGATAGATATTCATCAATGTGATAATTGATCACTAATGAAAAGACCTGACTGATTGATTAGTACAAAAAACGCAATTCTACTGATAGTAACCACGTCCTTTGAATAGGTCAGGGATATAGTATCTAACTATGGTACTGATTGGCATATGTTTTAATATTTCAGGAAATATCAGTTCCTCTTGAGGTCGCAGATACATCTTGTTATGATTATCAAGCAGAACAAACATCTGATTCAAGAAATTCTGTTGATTACTTTGAAAAACTTTTCTTCAATTCCAAACATTCTACATGTTTTATATACAACAGAAACATAATTTATGGGAAATAATTAGAGCAAAGTGGATCATTTTTAGGTTATATATGTTTACATATAAACAAAGTTAATTATTTATAATAACCTTTCTCTGACCATTTGAAATATATAAGATGACAAGTCAGTATTCAATAAAAGTCTATCAATTTTCATTTCAGTTGGCCGTTTTTGTCTCAATTAATTCGGAATATTTTCTCTTGAATTCCGATAATATAAGATTCGGTAATTCAGCATGTTGCTAAGTAATTGAAATACAATAGAATTTGCTTGAACTAGAATTTAGACACATCTTAGTGAATTTTTTATATCATAGAAACATACCATTTAAACAAATTCAACCTTCCATTCATTTATTAACTCTTGAAATAGTTTTTTAATCTGATGATAATTATTAAAGTCTATTCATTTACTTTTTCCACAACACTAATTGCTCATTGGTTTATTAATGTGAATGACGTTAAATTTGACTTTTTCATGTCCACTAACCAGTTAATTGTGATTGTCAATTTATTTGATAGATGTACTTTGATCAGATTTTCGTTAAGAGTTTGTATTTTAGGTAGAGTTCAAATGTTGTATCATCATTTTACAAGTAAATGAAAAAAAAACTACAACTTAGGTTTAAAACAAGGCTATTGCCAGGTCAACTTGGCTTCTTATATTATCATAATCATTGTAAATGTTCTTCGGGGAACTTAAAGGGAATGAATTGGTTTAATAGAAACTATTAAGGACTGAATCGATGTTTATTTATGCAGTGTATGTATGTCAGATAATATCAGTCACCAGCAAATAAGTTATTCTTTTTTGAATGGTAAAATATTAACAAATTAATCTTCAGATACTGTCTATCAGTTTTCGTGTACTTTAGAACTGAGGTGAGTATTTAGATTCAGTTAATTCCCAAGACCTTAGTTGATTAAAAAGCATCAGTACGATGGCTTGAAAAAGACTCAAACATTCGAAGATTTGGTATGTTATCGTGGTGTTTTATTTGATAAAAAATTCGAAATTATGAAAACGCATGTAATAAGTACTAGTCCTTTCAATTGTCGATATTTGAAAGTAATTCCCTCGGAAAATAGTATGTTTAAAGGGTGATTAGTGTAGTTTTATCAATGTTTGTTTATTTTATTGTTGTAGTCCAAAAGACAAAAAGACCAGAACAATTTTTTTTACCAAAGTAACTAATCAAATAAAACTGAAAATAAATCAGGGGAGATATACTCAACCATGTTATGTCGACTAAATGAATCGTAAGCCGAAATAACGGTCATTTTTACGTTCATTCAGTCAACGGAATTGTCATAATATAACCTGATTTTTATTAAAAAATTAGATTAAGCTGTGACTGACTGTAATGTCAGATTGTGCTGCACCGGGCACTTGCATAGTATGCTGGAGTGATATTATAGGTTATGGAAAACTTAATAATAATCGTGGTTGATTTAAAGTGAACTGTCAGTGAATAATGTTAGTGAAGAAAGGTTTGAGGTTAAGTATAATTCTGGTGATAGTGCTCTAAACCATGTACTGATGTTTAAATGACTGTAGTCTTCAGTCTTGAAACAATATCGTTCGTCTTTTATGACGTAAATCCTAGTAGCGAATAGTTTGTTTATTGAGTTTATCGGTTTTATTATTTGTAGTTAGCTATTTTAATTTATATATCTATTCAAATAAAACAATAATTACGACACTTCTTTAGTTTGGTGTACTTGGTTGTCCTATAACTCATTTTGTTTAATGTAATGATATTACTTGAAGGAAGTAACGAAGCACATAAGTTTAAAAAAACTGAATTGCTTAATTTTTTTCATTTTCTTTAATGCGCTTAAGCTTCGAAATTAGAAAATTATGCATACGACAATCTGTAGTTTAACTAGCTCCCAGAAGCTGAAGCTGAAAGCTTCGAACTTGGGCAGCACATCAAAAACTGGGTGGATATGATATTGATGTATCATATTTGTTACATTCTTCCCCCGCCTTAACATATTAGTAATTCATTTTAGAACTAAATTACACAGTTGTGATATAGACACGAAATGTCTTTGTATATCTTCCGGTGAAACGAGACTGAAATACATTGGAATACATGGAAGCAGGCAGAAGGATAAAAGCTACAAAATACAGTATTCAGCACATACTGTGCTATGAACAGGTTGTAGGAGTTGATCTAATCGAAAATTTATATTCATGAAGACATTAGTATGGCAGAGTTGTATAAATTCGTCTTTGCTTAAAAACATTTCATTGAACTCTGAATAATTTATTTACATATTTCATGTACAAATATACATTCACTTATCTATTATTTCTAGTGATATACAAATAGTAATAAAATCGTATCAAAGTATTGTATGCCTGTAATTGCATACTGTCGAACAAAGCCAATACCGTTTATCTATTTAGAATGGGACAGGAGCGAGATGTCACGTTACTCCCTGAAGACTATTTCGTCTTCTAAATCATGTGACTATGGAATTATTTTCGTGAGGCCAAAGTAATAGCACCCTCCTCAGGTTTTTTTGAAAGCAGGCTGAACATTCACTTTAACTATTAATAAATTACAACGACTACACCTTTCCATTATCAGTGTAAAGCTGTAAATGGAAACCTGATGTAAATGCTAATTTGATATTCTTTTATCAGTTAAGCTTTTCGTGAATAAATTTGTAGATTGGATTCTATTTCAGTTCATCAAGTTGACTTTTGTATGAAAACTGTGGAATATGATCTCCACACAGATAAGTAGTTTCCTAGCATCCAGTTCCCACTTAACAAGTGACGTTTAAAATTAGTACAGAATATATTCGTCTTTTTTGGTGAAAAACCTACTTAATTGAATGCCACAGACCCGGATTCATGTATACATTACCAAACAAAACAGGTTGGTGTTTCCCTATCCTTATTGCGACCTAATCCTATACCAATCATCATAACGCGTCAAGGTATTCGGTGGATGAACATAGGCAATGCATGTCCTAACGATCTTCGTTGATAAACATTCCCTACTTGGTCAGTGGATTTGCCATTTTTACGTAGTACTCTGCATCTGGTTTCAGTTACAAGCTAGATGGTCCCATAATATGTGAGCAATGCTACGAAAACACCTATGATCGAATAGTAGTAACCTAAGGACAATGTTTGTGGATAAACCGGTTTACAGTGCACTGATCTGCGCTCTCGCCTATGTTTATCACCTGGCTGCTTAGTAAATATACGACGGCAGTTCCGTTAAAAATTTACTAAATATAGTATAATGCAATTAAATACATGCAATAGAATATAAAACAGTTAAAAACTTGTCGTAAAGTGGAAATATAGAGCAGATCCACAAGGTGCGACTTGTCTCCATTGACTACTTGAAATATAAAGTAAGAATATTAGCTTAACAGGCGCATTCGTTAAGACATAAATGTCAGTTTGTAAAAAAAGAGTGGACTTACTGTGTGGGAAATCATACTGGTATTGTGGTCGATTTTATCGAAATCGGCCGTGTTCCAGGATGTATTAACCAATGAAAACTCAAGAACGTTATCCGAAAATTTAGCACGAACGGAGGAAAGCTGAGGTTCTCACGCTGTTACACATTACAGTAATCTTAAACTGTTTGTTTAGTTTAGCATAGACTGAATTCTGGAATAACGATAATGCTGAGGTAGATAAGTC